CAGTAAATACTTCTTGAAATGGTGCAGAGTTTTGACTACGGCCAGCAATTCCCTCCTGGTCACGCAATAATTCCTCTCGGGCTTGGATAGTGACTTGCTGAAGTAAGCAATAACCTTCTCCTGCTCACCATCGCGTTGTGAAAGGACACCTCCTATTCCAATATTGCTGGCATCCGTATCTACTACGAATATTCCTTTCGCGCTGGGGTATCCGAGAATTGGTGTGTTACAAAGCCGTTCTTTTAGTTCTCGAAAGGCTTGCTCACAATCCTCGTCCCAGATAAAGGCACGTTTCTCCTCTGTCAATCGATGCAAAGGCTTGGCAATGTCCGAGAATCCTTTCACAAACCGCCGATAATACGAGCACAATCCAAGAAATGCCCGAACTTGCGTTTTGTCTTTAGGTGTTGGCCATTCCTTAACAGCGACAGTCTTGGCTGGATCAGTCTCAATTCCTCTCTCAGAAATAACATGTCCTAGATAATTCACTTCGCGCTTGAAGAAAGAGCATTTCTTTGGACTCAACTTTAAATTTGCTCCACGCAGCTTGTCGAGTACCTTTTCTAATTTCCTTAGATGATCGTCAAAATCCCGTCCAACAATGATGATGTCATCGAGGTAAACTAGGCAGGTTTCGCCCAGCAGTCCCGCCAGCACCTGTTCCATCAAACGCTCAAAGGTTGCCGGTGCATTGCATAATCCAAATGGCATCACCTTAAATTGCCAGAGTCCCTTCCCAGTTGAGAATGCGGTCTTTTCCTTGTCCTTGGGATCCAAATCCACCTGCCAATAGCCGCTTTTTAGATCGAGCGTTGAAAACCATTTCATGCCACTCAGTGTGTCAAGTGTGTCATCGATTCTTGGTAACGGGTAGCTATCCTTCTTGGTTACATCATTCAATCGTCGATAGTCTACGCAAAACCTCGTTGAACCATCTTTCTTCTTGACAAGCACGACAGGTGAACACCAAGGGCTAGAAGAGGGCTCTATCACGTCATTTTTCCTCATATCGTCAATCATTTCTTCAACCTCTTTCTCACGAGCGAATGGTATGCGTCTGGGCCTTTGACGAATTGGCATTGTATCACCTGTGTTTATTTTATGCTTCACCAAACCAGTTCGGCCAATATCACCATCGCTTCTTGAAAACACATCAGAGAATCGAAGAAGTAAATTTCTAGCCTTCATAGTCTCCACTTTTGTCAGACTTTTGTTTTCGTCTAAGATTTTCGTTACAAAGTCTATTCCCGTACTGTCCTTCTTCACAAGATTTTCCGAGCATTTTCTTATCCAGGCCACTTCTTCCAAAACGCCCACAGGCTCTCCTTCTTCAATCGTAATTTTTGAATCACTGAAGTTGAATACCGGAATGCGGTTGACATCAGATGACCCCACGACAGTCCTTGCCGGTAGCCATGAGTTTACGTGTTCCGATTTATCAATCACAGCGCACCTTCGAGGTAAACTTCCTTCACTCCTCCTAGGTAATGCGATTGGTACGAGAGTCTGTGATTTTGGTTCAAGAACAGTTCTTCTTAAACAGCAAACTTTTCCCAGGGTTCCACCCTTCATCGGAATTTCCTCAGTTCCACATAGTAATACTCCAGATTTTAAGTCGATGTTACACTGGTGCCCTTGCAGGAAGTCAAGTCCCAGGATGCAGTCATCCAGAATTTTGGCCACAATAACCTCATGTCGATAAACACGTTCCCCAATTTTGATTGTTACGTGCAGTTTTCCACTTATCGGTATCCACTGGCCGGTAGCTGATTTCATTCGTAGGCCAACAATTGGTTTAACGTGTTTCCTGATGTTTTGCTCGAGCAGCCGAACATTTATCACCGTCCTTGAAGCTCCAGTATCTAATGTTAGCTGACTGTTTTTCCCATTTACTTGACCGTCTATCACCAGAGTATTTCCATCGTTAGTTTGCTTGATGTAGATTGTTGGGGTTATTCCACTACCGGCCAGCGCCCACCCCGCAGCCCTGGCTGGAATTAGTTTCCCTGCTGGTCAGAAGTTGAGACCGCCGCGTCCTGGCGGTTCACCTTCTTCGGGCAGTTGCTCCGCATGTGCCCACGCTCTCCGCATCCATAGCACATGAAGTTCCGACGGCGTGGAGGTACCTGCTCCGTTGTCGTCATTTCCCGCAGACATAAGGTATGGGAGTTACCACGCACAGCTTCCACTTCCAATGCATGGGCCAGAGCTTCTTTCATGTTCTTGTGATGGCCCAGATGAACAGCAGCTCGTACTTCGGGGTCCCGAATACCGTCAATGAACGCTTGGAGAAGCGTGCCTTCAATCATTGACGGAGTCGACCGGAAAGCTCGACGCACAAGTTTCTCGATTTCCACGGACCATTGCTGTAGGCTCTCATTAGCACGCTGAGTACGCTCTTTTAATTGCGCTCTGTACACGTGCTCGAGGTGGCTGTCTCCAAAACGTGCCTCAAGTGCGTCGAGGAGGGCACTTAAGCTGAGATCCCCACTTGCGCCGATAGCTTCCAACACTGAGAGCGCTTGATCACGGAGGGCCAGGGTGAGGGCTGACTGTGCTTCCTTCTGAGTCCAACCATAAGCCTCCATAAGTGTCTCAAACTGTAGCTTGAACGCGTTCCAGGATGTTGTTCCGTCGTAATGGGGAATCTTGAGCCCTTTCGTTGCGCTTGAGGCCACATTTGGGGCGTCAAAAACGGCTGCAAGACGGCTTTGGCTCTTCAAAGGGCTTGGGCTTGTCACTTCCTGCTTGATTTTGGAGATCTCTTCTTTCACTCTCTCCTCTATCGCCATGACGCGATGTTCCAACTTGCCTAACCCTTCCTCCACTTCTTGTACCCGTTCGACAGCCTTTTGCAGTCCCTTCGTGAAATCCTTATGCATCTCTTCCAAGCGACGCGCTTGCTCCTCTTGGCGGCGAGCTTGATCCTCTTGGCGACGAGCTTGATCTTCTTTCAGCTCCCGTAGCTGTTCCGCCTGACAGCGTGCTTGCTCTTCTTGGCGGCGCGCTTGCTCTTCTTGGCGGCGCGCTTGCTCTTCTTTCAGCTCCCGCAGCTGTTCTGCCTGACAGCGCGCTTGCTCTTCTTGGCGGCGCGCTTGCTCTTCTTGGCGGCGCGCTTGCTCTTCTTGGCGGCGCGCTTGCTCTGCCATCATTTGCTGCAGCTGTAGCAGAAGATCCACCTGCACAGGCTTGGCTTCTGCATCGCTGGTTTGAGCTGGAGCACCCTCTTCCCTCACACGCTGCGCTTCTGACATTGCACGGGTACTCACTCCCCTTACGTCCTGCGGCACTAGCGGCATTTTTCTCCAATCCCACTTCTGACACCAAATGTTACGTGCCTGACGTCACGTTCCTGACTATGCGGGCTTGGGTTACGGGATTGGATGAAATGAAACACTAATACCGGTTTTCAGACTTTCTATTGTACTTAAGTTACAGCGTCCACGGAGTTAAGTTATCGGCGTTCTTCTCCAGCAGAGTCCGGCCGACTGACACAACTTTGCCGTTCACGCTGACTTAACTCACTTAACTGACTGCACTTCACTATTTCACTGCACTTCACTATTTCACTCACTTTTCTTCTTTTCCACTTCTTCCTTTTCTTCCGAATCGCTTTAGACTTAGAACTCAACTGCTAGCGGTGAGCCGCAGTTCTGCTTATATACCCCCGGTCAGGTTCTGGAACATTCAATTTCGTTATTCTTTTTGATCGTCATGCCTCCAGAACCTTCCAATAATTTCGCTATTCATTTTTATTTATTCTCCTTCTCACTCTTTAATTTTTCATCTCTTTCACACAAATAATTCCAGAAAGTTCGACAAAACTTCCATCAACTAAAAAACTTCATGTTTACGGCGGGACTCGAACTCGGGGTCTCTGTGGTGTAATCCACACGCCTTACCAATTACACCAACTCGTATTGACAATTCACGACGAAATTTACAATCTCTAGGCAACGTTTGACAACCATCCATTGACGTCATGATGTCAAAGAGTTTTCTGTCACAATAAAGCTTTTTTGTGTACAAATTGGTGACATTTTTGTGTCATATAAAATAGAAAATTAATAAAATTAACTATAGTAGCTTGCACAGGAAATATTAAAGTACATACATATGTAGTCTATGTCACTTCATTCTCATAAAATGTTGGAACTTCATCTGACCTGAGAGAGGTCAGTTCTAAGACCATCTGAGCTGTCCTGTCTGTGTTTAAGTGGTATCTGAGGCACTGGCGATTAATTGTACAAAATTCCTACTAGCTTTCTGTATATTTATATAAAAACTGCTTTTTACTTAGAAAAGATTCAAGCTTTTTAGTCTAAGTAATCATTTTAGCTACTATCTAACGAGGGAAATCTCTTAAAGAGCTTGTGATTCGATTTGATAACGTCTGATTGATAATGGATAATGGAAGAAAACTTATTGTGCACGACTACAAGTAACTAGAGATGGGGTCAGGAAGAAATATATTATAACTCTTTTCCAGCAAGAGTTAGAAAAAGAACATAGCACTCAATTTGTATATTAAAACCAACCATTAACTTTTCTTCTCTTTAAATAATATCTTCTGATTTATTTCGTTGCGAGATCCTTTTGTTTGACTTCTCGGAACGCTACGTGCCTTACGCTCGGGTTTGGTTCTGGTCGGGCGGACCCTAGCTTGCCGTCTGCAGACCTATGGCCGGAGATTGTCACTCGATCCCCGACGCCCGGAGTGTCACCTAACGCGGCGGCTGAAGCGTGAGGAGAAGGATAGCTCCGCCACGCGGAAGAGGTAGGACGCCATGGCGTTTCTTTAGCCACTGCTTAAACAGGGACCTATAAAGAGGAGCCGGGTACGAAATACTACTCGACGACTTGGAAACGCACGCTTTCTTTTTTAAGGAAGCGCGAAACACACTGGGCATGGCCATTGTCCATGTTAATAAACATGATCTCATGAACAACTGCCTTGGATCTTGCAATTCTCGGAAGCGAAATCCATTGCCAGGGACATGAACATAAACCTTCAATCCTTCAACGCAATAAATCAGAAGGTATTATTATAGGTGAAGAAACGTTATAAATTTACTTGCTTCTAGTTAAACGACTTCAAAACACCCTACTTCAAAAGAACCTCTTCAACTGATTATGAGCTCAGCTTCATCATCAGGCCCGTACTTACTTTTCATACTGTCCCACACCTTAAGAGCGATCGAGGCGTCAGTGTCCGGACAGTCATAAGTCTGCCCAGGATGCTTACGGGTATAATGCCGTAAAACATTTTGCTTGTGAGAAAACCTTTTTGGGCAAACGTGACAGAGGAAATACTTCTCATTAATATGAGTTCTCATGTGGTATTTCAACCTGCTTTCTCTAGGAAACTCTTTGTGGCAGATATCGCAAACTGTGTGCTTTATTTTCTCGTGGCCTTGCATGTGGCGTTGCATGTTATGCTTATGGGAAAATTTCTTTTTGCATATTTCACATGTGAAAGGTTTTTCGCCAGTATGGACTCGCATATGAGGCTTTAGAAGACCGGAGCAGGTAAACCCTTTCCCGCAGACAGGGCAAGAATACGGTCTAGAATCTTGATGCAACATCATATGGCGGATCAGAGTATTCTTGTATTTGAACGTCATGTTACATATTTCGCAGGCAAAAGGGCGTTCCGTGTCGTGCTTTTTTAAATGCGATTTCAACATGGATTCTTTTTCGAAGGTTTTGTCGCAAACCTTGCATACAATCGGCTCGTTACTTTGCGGTTTGCATCGAACGTTTGCCAAATGTTTGTTCAAATTCGTCCGAAAAGAGAACGTGTGAGAACATTTGGGACACTTATATGGCTTGTCTTTCAAATGCGTTTTTTTATGTTGGAGTAAATTCGAGCGCGACTTGAATTTCTTTGGACAGACGTCGCATCCGTAGTTTTTGTGATTTGGATCAGTGTGTGTGTGCTTTTTGAATATGTGTTTGTCTAATCGTATTTTGTTTAGGAACTGTCCGGGGCAATGTGGGCACATTATTGTTTTTCGCGTGTGTAATAAAAGATGGCGAACGACGTTGCCACTGTTGGCGAAGGTTTTGCGGCATATTCTGCACATGAAGCGACCTTCTGGACTCACTGCGTAGTACTCTGGAAAGAAGAAACGTGTTTCTATTATAAATCTAATAAAGTGCATTCGATTATTTTCAATTAGCAGCTAACCGACTTCGCACGGGTGCAATGCTAATACTAAATGTCTCCACTATTTAATGAATGTTATTATACATATAAACCTTCCTCTTCAATCACTCTATCTATTAAAAAATCGCATCAAAATCCGTTGCGTAGTTTTAAAGATTTAGGCATACTTAGGGATATAGTGACAGAAAAAACATGGCTCCCCCACACTTAAAAAATACGATATTTGTGTTAAAGAAAATGATAGTTTCTCCGAAGCCATAGTGTCTGTCTGCCTCAAGTCCCTCCGTAGTTCGTACTGAAAAGCACAGCACTCCCACTTTTATCCCGAGCGTACAGCGCGTAGCGTTCCGCGCGCGCCTCGAATAGCCAATAGACCATCACAGACGGGGCCCTATATGGCTGATGTTCAGCCGGGTTTGCGGGGTAAGCGCTATGAGGCACCGCGACCTTGGCCCAGAGCAGGAGAAGGAACAGGGGGGTTTTTAGTCAGTAAGAGACACTCCCTCCCGCCCGGCCCTGGGCGGGAGAAGTCATTTGATGACTTTCCTCTCACATAAAAAATCACCCACTTATATCACCACATAGTATCAAACAAAGTTGTTTTCTTATGCTTAAAGATTTAAAACTACGCAATGGATTTTATTCGTTTTTTTTTATGTAATAGATCGGAAAACTAGCAGACTGATTACCTGATGGTAAGTAATCAGTGCCGCCCATGGACACCGGCAACGTAGGACTTACGAGTGCGTTGTCGACCTTTTAGGGATTAGAGATTTGGAGATTTAGAGATTGAGGAGGGAGAAAGATTGGGCCTCCGGTAACCTCACTCACACGGCGAAACACAACGCTGAGGTTGTTTCACGCTGGTTTTCTGTGATTCGTTTGTTTTAATATAACATGTAATTGAAGAGGAAGGTTTAAGGTTTATTTATATGTATAATAACATCCAATAATCAGTAGAGAAATTTAGTATCAGCAGTGCACGTGTCAGCAGCGGGGGCGGGTCGATGATTTTTTTTTTCTTGCAATAAACTAGTGCTTTACTGCGATCCCACCTGATGGTAAGCAGTGATGCAATCGTTGATGGTAAGAAGCACTAGTTTATTAAGAGCCTATTCACTCTAGCCTTGAAGACATCTAAATTATATTTGGACGGAAAGACGAAAACGGCAAACTGTTCCAATCCCAATATATCAAAATATTTCGATTTAGTCTAGTTGAAGTAGTCGTATGTATTTGAAGTAACGACCGTACTTGAGCAGATTTGGGAATCAGCGAATAAGTGTCCACTACTGAGTAAAATCCTCTTCTCACACGGAGAAGGTTTGAGCATTAACCACCACGCTTGCTCATACCGGTTAGCGATTTCAAACTTATAATTAGTAATTATAAGTTCAGGTTTCCTCACGCTGTTTTCCTTTACCGTATGTCAGTGGTGTCTGAATACACGTAAAGGGTAAATATTTCTTAGAAAAAGTCACAACAAAGGTACCTGTCATGTCTCGAACCCCTCGTGGATGAGAAATCTGGAGGTTAGTCCGGGCCACCATAACATTATAGGACCACAACTTTTTTTTTATGTAATACGTCGGCTAACGAGCAGACGGATTACCTGATGGTAAGCAATCAGCGCCGCCTATGGACACCCACAACGGCGGTGTAACGAGTGCCTTGTCGACCTTTTAGGGATAAGGGATTTGGAGATTAAGGAATCAGGGGATGGGAAGGATTGGGCCTCCGGTAACCTAACTCATACGGCGAAACACAACGCTTAAATAAAAGACAGAAAATTACTTTTCAAATATATTAAAACTCTTTCTCAACGCAAACATTGTTCTTTTGTGCTCTCTCTCCTCTTCTTCGAAGGCGAATTGCTTTCTTTTATTTAATAATTCTTCTTCCAAAATCTTCTTTCGCAAATCTGCTATTTCTAAAGTAACTTCTGCTAATCTTTCGAATGGTTTCTTCACTTTTTCAGCGGCTGAAACAAGATTGTTTTATTTATTTTGAATATCTATTAAATTGTAAAAGTTAAATTATTCCATACAAGCTTCTGTCCGCGGCTTCACACGCGTACGAAAGGAAAGCGACAGCTCGACAAAAATACGCATATCAAGTATAATTTATAGCCTATAGCACTCAGGAGCATTGTAGCTATCTAGCAGTGAAAGAATTTTGGCAATCCGACCAGCGGTTCCAAAGATTACCCCCTACATACAAATTTACAAATTTTACCTCTTTATAATATTACTATAGATTTGGAATTAATTGACTTCTAATCCGAACTAATATTATAAATGCGAAAGTCTCTAAGTCTGTCTGTCTTTTCTTCACGCCTAAACTACTGAACCGATTTCTGTCAAATTTGGTACAGACATCATTTGGAACTCGAGAAAGGACATAGGATAGTTTTTATACCAAAAATCTCAGGAAGCCTCTATTCCACGCGAACGGAGTCGCGGGCAAAAGCTAGTGCGTTGTAAAGAAAGAACTTACATGAAGCAGGGTGTTTTTTGGAACGCTGAGATTTCGTCTTTAAACACTTCCTGTCATTGGTATCACATTTAGATGGTGTATGTTGACCTGAAATAAAAAAGAAACTACAGTAGGTACCTATGGTTTATCAAAAATAATGAGGCTCAAGTGTTTTTATGGCATAGGACGGCAAATTTGCATACTATGAAGCCATGCTTCGGCACGAATGGGTCGGCTCCACCGGAGTGATACCACGGCCTTACAGAAAACAGCATTGTTACATCCACAGCGTTGTGTTTCGCCGAGTAACTGAGATTACTGAAGGCCCAACATTTCCCCTCCCCCAACCCTTCTCCAATCCCTAAATATCCGAAACCCTAATCCCCAAAAATCGGCAACGCACTAGTATCTCCTCTGTAGTTGCGAGTTTTCATTAGCGGCGCTGATTGCTTACCATCAGGTAATCCGTCTGCTCATTTGCGGACCTATAACATACAAAAATCAACTAATAAAAATATAATAAAACTTATTAATATCTTACCGATTGAAAACGAAATTCACTTCCACTAATACACATGTGGGTAGATGCGGAAAATTCGACGCTCCATAAAGCGAATGTCTTCACTTTTGAATGGTCTTCCGGCGGCGGTATTCCCGAACCGATACGACCTTCAAACGTTCAAGAAACGTGCGTACTCCTTCTGAAAAGGTCGGCAACGAGCCTATGACTCCTCTGGTGCTGCAGGTGCCCATGGGCGGCGCTGATCACTAAGCATCAGATGGTCCGTCTGCTCGTTTGCCTCCTAGTCCGTAAAAACAGTTTTGGGTTCTTACTGAGTCCAGCTTATACTGAGAAGACAAACCGTAAAACGGGGTAAATCGGACATCCCGGCGTACGGCAAATATCCACCCTTACGTTGTTGAGACACCTGCGGCCCGGACTAAGCGTTTTGCCTCGTCATTTATACCGCGTACATCGAAGGATTGGAACAGTTTGCCGGCTGCAGTCTTTCCGTCCAAATATAATTTAGGTGTCTTCAAGGCTAGAGTGAGTAGGCTCTTAATAAACTAGTGCTTCTTACCAACAACGATTGCATCACTCTTTACCATCAAGTGGGATCGCAGTCAAGCAAGTAAAAGAAAAAAAAGATTTTTCCTAGTATCTATTCACCCCGTTTTACCGAGAAAAGTTCTACTAGTTACTACGTCGCCGCGACGAGCACGCTCATGAATAAGAGTCCCGCTGCGACTTGAAACTAGTCGAGCTCTTCTCAGTTAATTCACGGGAGTAAGTCGTTGTTTTTAATTAATTGCTGTCTTACTTTTATTTCCTTTTTAATTCAGATTCTTTTTTTTTATGTAATAAGTCGGCAAACGAGCAGGCGGATTACCTGATGGTAAGCAATCAGCGCCGCCCATGGACACCCGCAACGGAGGAGTTACGAGTGCGTTGCCGACCTTTTAGGGATTAGGGATTTGGAGATTTAGGGATTGGGGAAGGGTCCGGGAAGGGGAAGGATTGGGCCTCCGGTAACCTCACTCACACGGCGAAACACAACGCTGTGGTTGTTTCACGCTGGTTTTCTGTGAGGCCGTGGTATCACTCCGGTCGAGCCGGCCCATTCGTGCCGAAGCATGGCTCTCCCACACATTATATTCATCAGATGTCAGTTGTCGGCCATCGTCGCTGAAGATCAGCGCTGCGACACTGTCTCGCATAGTGTCGCTGCATATGCTGAGCGAGGGCCATTTCGCGTGCTTGTGACGCATATTTTTCCTTATATTACTCTTTTGTTTTATATTGTATTACCATGTTTTTTTTTGTTCTTGTGTTTAAACACTTCTTTATTCTGTGTTTTAAGTGCGTCCTAGACACGAATAAATACTTTTTCTTTCTTTCATATTATTTTTAATTTGGTAATATTAGTTAAAATCAATTTTCTTTGTTTTCTTTTAAATCCACCAAGCAACAACAATATTATGTCTTCAAATTTTTCTTCTAATGCAATATCGCAACGGTTGGGAGCCAGTTGAAGAAAATCAGACCTTAAATTAAACCATGGAGTTTCTTGCCCGTTCTTCTCCATCGGAATCTACACTATGGAACGAGCAAATAGCTTCACTAAGAGGACTGGCCGACAGACTGACACTTTTTATCTTTAAGTCTTTTTTGACGTTCCTTAAGCAGTAGCCCACCAGACACTACACCCATTTGATCGAAGGATCCTGTCTTTTCAATGGAGAATGAGGATCTATACATCCTGTTCTCTGATCCCTCCAAAACCTGATAGAAAGCAATCAACGCCGCCCATGGACACTCGGAATACCAAGGGACTTACTACAGGTGCGTCTCTTGTGGGATATACGGGATTTACAGATAGGGGATTTGGGGATTAAGGGTTGAGAGGAGCGATCCGAAACACTATGTAGGTGCAGTTTCACGCCGGTATTCTGCGAAGCCGCGGTATCAATCCGGTCGAGCCTGTAAGCATGGCTTTCCAACAAACCGTACCCGTCAAACGAACCCCCACTTAGTCATAGATAAAATGGCTAGTCAAAGTCATTCTAAATAACATAACCATTCAGTTACTGGTGTAGTTCTAGATGTAGAATTTACGCGATTGTATGGATAATGAAAGGCAAAGGAGAGCCTTGTCGATTAATTCGAGCAGGTTTTTGTGCAGCAGTGCTAAAAATCCAGCTTATCCAGTCCAGAAAATTATCCATTTTTAACATTATCTAGTTAATAAAAGTATTCACTTAAAAAAAATGTGTGTGTGTGTGTGAGTGTGTGTGTGAGAGAGAGAGAGAGAGAGAGAGAGAGAGAGAGAGAGAGAGAGAGAGAGAGAGAGAGAGAGAGAGAGAGAGAGAGAGAGAGAGAGAGAGAGAGAGAGAGAGAGAGAGGTCTGTGTGTGTGAAAAACATCACTTCGTCCATGCAATATATTTTGTGTTTTACTTAGAAAAAAAAGGGATCAAAATGTAATCTATTTCATTATTGGCATTTTCACCAAGTTTCAACCACCGTATATCAATAACGCCAAATTCCAAAACTCAAAACCGCCTGGACCTATTTTGCCAATTCTTATTTTGTGTTCTTTTAGCTAGGGGAAAGTTTAACAGTTGCCCATCCATGCGAAACAAAGACAGGCCGCTAAAAAAATCGGGGTTCGGGAGGGGCTGAGTTATATGTACATTCTAAGAACACTTATTTAGATACCACTGACATACGCTGAAGGAAAACATCGTGAGGAAACCTGTATCTACAATTTCTAATCATAACTTTGATATCGCCAAACCGTGAAGAGCAAGCGTGGTGGTTAATGCTCAAACCAAAGAAAAATACCTTGAACAAAAATACGTGCGCAGTTTTTTAGCAGTAACCCTTCTCCGTGTGAGAAGAGGCCTTTGCTCAGCAGTGGGCACTTATAGGCTGATGATGATTGATAAATCAGGCTTCTTAAGAACTTTCTTGATCAGAACTATTATCATCCGAAAAAAATATGTTATAATAATATTTGGAGCTTCATTAGCACTCTCACGCGGTTTCACCCGCTGCTCTGCGCTTACAGATCGCATCGTGATGTTTTATAGCCTATAGCCTTAGCCTTCCTCAATAAATGGACTAACAAACAAACAAACTCTTCAGCTTTATAATATTATATCTATACTACAGTTTATAGATAAGGAAAACTTACTCTTATATTCGACGCGTGAGGTGCTAGCTTTCAATTCAGCGAGGTCATCAGAGCTTGGATAATCCGAGAGATCTGAGGTACCTTCGTAGACAGGATCCTCAGGTTCGGGGACATCTGATAGCGGTTCGTCTTCCACTATTTGCAGCATCGGTTCCTGGGAGGATGCATCTTCCTGGAAAAGAGATAGATAGAGATCAACTTAGACCCCTCATTACAAAACAAAATATAACGCCCCGTTCCTTCTCCTGCTCTGGGCCGAGGTCGCGGTGACTCATTGCGCTTGACCCTCAACTCTGGCTGAACATTGCTTTATAGGGCCCCGTCTGTGGTGGACTATTGGCTCTTTGAAGCACGCGCGGAACGCTCCGCTCGAGTCTGGTTCTGGTCGGGCGGTGAGCTACCCTTACTGGCCGTCCGCAGACCCGCGCTTACGGTTATAATTGACCAACATACGGATAGCATACGGACACCCGCTACAACAGAAGAGTTACGAGTGCGTTGCCGTCCATTTGGGGATTAGGGATTTGGAGATTTGAGGATTGGAGAGGTAATGTTTCATTATGTTATATTTTTTTTTGTTCCCAGCTTTCTTGTCTGTTGCCGAATGTATTCATTTTTCTTTCTTTCTATCAATTGACATCTCTCGACCAGGTTAAGGCGAGAGGGTGTGTAAGATTTTTACTGCCAAAAAAACTACTTATTGGGCCTACCCCGCAGCCATAAGAGACCCCTTAAATATTTAACACGTTGAACCCCGTGGGGCCCGTGTGGGCCACGCTAACGGAGGATTTGCCTTCAACAGTTTTCTGTCGGCAGTCAAAGGCTTAAGTAAGAGAGAAGCCATTAATTTGGCACTGAGCTAATCATGTTTTTGGTGCATCATATGATGTGCATCATATGGCGTCTTATTAAAAATTGAAAAAAAAAACTATAAAAAGTAGCTTAAAACCGTGATTTTATTCGCGTATTTTATAGCTTAGTAGCAACTTGCCCCGGCTTCGCAATGCTGATACTAAATTACTCCACTATTTAATACATAGATGCACCTTCCTCTTCAATCACTCTATCTATTAAAACATCGTATCAAACATACATATATCCGTTAAAGATTTAAGCATACATAAGGATATAAAAGCTGGATTTGGGAAAGATAGTTTTATGTGCTTTCCCATATTCAGACACTCTGTCAGTGTCTGAAAATCAAAGAATAAATAGCATAAACATTATGATATTTAATTTGACTTGTCATAGTGACAATTTGTTATTTTTTGATACTAACAAATTTGTTAGTGGTTTTAAATTGACTAGGAAATCTTTGTCCATTCCTAGAAAATGTAAAGTTTTACTTGCTAGCCTTCTAGCAAATATTATTAACTTAGCATGTAGTTTAAGTGACGATACTGCATTATTTAGATACTCTAATAATGTAGTGATAGACTGTACATATAATAGTACGATGGAGACTCAACATTTAGTGACAAATGTGGGTAGCACTCCAGATAACTTTTTAAATTAAATTTTGAGACAACGGAAGAAAACCTTTTAAATTCTAATGCTACAAGTTATCAGCAGGTATCTTCTCGCAATAAATTATATTCTAAAAACAAACGAGGAAATTTTACACTCCTCAGTCAAAATATTCAGGGCATTTCATCCAAGTTACTAGAATTGGAATTATTTTTAGAAAAATTTAAATTTGACATAGTTTGTATAACAGAGCATTGGATGAAGAAGTATCAGGTAGAATTTATGAGTTTTAAAAATTATTGTGTTGGTAGTTTCTTTAGCCGTCAAGCAATGATTCATGGTGGTAGTTTAATATTATTAAAAAACTCAATTAAATATAAAGAAAGACAAGATATTACTTCACTTTCCATTGAGCATACAATTGAATTGTCCTGTGTGGAGCTGGATAGGCATGTTGTAATATGCGTTTATAGACCTCCTAACTTACAGAACTTAAACATTTTTAACTCAGTCATGGAACAAGTTTTGCAGAAAGCGTGTTCAAACAGTAAATTCACAATAGTATGTGGCGATTTTAATATTGATCTCTTAGAAAACAATTCTAATTGTGTTAATTTGGTAAGTCTTTTTAAATCTTTTGATTTGTCTAATGTTTTCCTTGAGCCCACCCGAGTAACATCCACCTCGGCTACATGCATAGATAATATATTTTGTAACTGTAATTATTTACATAAGGATATAATAAATACCTTACCATCAGACCACAGTGGGTTAACAATGAACCTTAACAACATCACAAAGGTGCCAAAAAAGGAAATAATGTTTAGGCAAATCACAAATAAAAGGGTTGAGTTATTAAATAACAATTTGAAACATAAATTATGCAGCCCATCACATGATTATGAAGGTCCAAGTGAGATTTATGACAATCTACTGTCCGTGATTAAAACCCAGTTTGATAAAATATTCCCCTTAAAAAGAAAAACTATTGACTGTAAATTTGTATTCTGTGACTGGGCTACCCCAGGTATTCGTAGAAGTAGGGAAAGGTTATTTGAGCTATATGGTATGAAACCATTTGATACTAGTGAAGCCTTCAGCAAGCATGTGTCCAAATATGCAAAAATATTTAAAACAGTCTGTAAGCAAGCTAAATCACTTTATATTGGCAATAAGATTAAAAATGCTGAAAATAAAACAAAAGCTACGTGGAAGGTAATTAATAACGAGACAGGCAGAAATAAATTGCATAACACGGAATTTAATTTAAATACGGATAATGGACGAGTTAATGCTAATCAAGAAGTTGCCCAAGAATTCGAATTTTTTTTCAAGAATATCCCCATTAAAACTACGAAAGACTTAGAATCATCTCCGGCACTTTCTATTAGTCTTCTTAAAAGAAATGTTAAAGAATGCCGTTCTGGCTTCCGATTTCAGTACACGGACCCGCAATCAGTAATAAAGGCGTTTAAAGACATAAAAGTTAAGTCTACAGAGGATCTATGGGGAATGTCTGTTGTGGTGTGTAGGTCTTTTATAGAAGCTATAGCGCCTTACTTAGCTGTAATTTTTAATAAAAGTGTAGATCAGGGTGTTTTTCCAAATTTGATGAAACTTAGCAAGGTAGTCCCGTTGTTTAAATCTGGCGATGACAATGATCCCAATAATTATAGGCCGGTATCAATTTTACCAGTGCTTAGTAAAGTGTTTGAAAAGCTAATGCTTTCTCAGATGCTACGACACTTTAACATAAATTCCATCTTTCATGACCAACAATATGGGTTTACCAAGGGTCGATGCACAACTGACGCCGGTGTAGCTCTACTTAAGCATGTTTTTGCCTCATGGGAAAAGTCAAACGACGCTATTGGGATTTTTTGTGACCTGTCTAAAGCTTTTGATTGCGTTGAACACACGACACTGTTGCTGAAGTTGGAACACTATGGCATTCGAGGGGTATCTCTCAATTTATTAAAATCATACCTGCAGGATAGGCAGTTCAAAGTACAAGTAAATAAAGTGAACTCCCAGGGTACTAGCATTTCTATGGGCGTACCACAGGGCTCAATATTAGGTCCTTTCCTGTTTTTAGTGTACATAAATGATTTACCTCATTTATTTCAACTGAAACCGGGAATGGTATTATTTGCTGATGACACATCGTTGATTTTTAAAATAATGTGACAGAAAACTCTTTGACATCATGACGTCAATGGATGGTTGTCAAACGTTGCCTAGAGATTGTAAATTTCGTCGTGAATTGTCAACACGAGTTGGTGTAATCGGTAAGGCGTGTGGATTACACCACAGAGACCCCGAGTTCGAGTCCCGCCGTAAACATGAAGTTTTTTAGTTGATGGAAGTTTTGTCGAACTTTCTGGAATATTTGAGTGAAAGTGATGAAAAATTAAGGAGCGAGAAGAAGAATAAATAAAAATGAATAACGAAATTATTGGAAGATTCTGGAGGCATGACGATCAAAAAGAATAACGAAATTGAATGTTCTAGAACCTGACCGGGGGTATATAAGCGGAACTGCGGCTCACCGCTGGCAGTTGAGTTCTAAGTCTAAAGCGATTCGGAAGAAAAGGAAGAAGTGAGAAAGAAGAAAAGTGAGTGAAATAGTGAAGTGCAGTGAAATAGTGAAGTGCAGTCAGTTAAGTGAGTTAAGTCAGCGTGAACGGCAAAGTTGTGTCAGTCAGCCGGACTCTGCTGGAGAGGAACGCCGATAACTTAACTCCGTGGACGCTGTAACTTAAGTGCAATAGAAAGTCTGAAAACCGGTATTAGTGTTTCATTTCATCCAATCCCGTAACCCAAGCCCGCATAGTCAGGCACGTAACATTTGGTGTCAGAAGTGGGATTGGAGAAAAATGCCGCTAGTGCCGCAGGACGTAAGAGGAGTGAGTACCCGTTCAATGTCAGAAGCGCAGCGTGTGAGGGAAGAGGGTGCTGCAGCTCAAACCAGCGATGCAGAAGCCAAGCCTGTGCAGGTGGATCTTCTGCTACAGCTGCAGCAAATGATGGCAGAGCAAGCGCGCCGCCAAGAAGAGCAAGCGCGCCGCCAAGAAGAGCAAGCGCGCCGCCAAGAAGAGCAAGCGCGCTGTCAGGCAGAACAGCTGCGGGAGCTGAAAGAAGAGCAAGCGCGCCGCCAAGAAGAGCAAGCGCGCCGCCAAGAAGAGCAAGCGCGCCGCCAAGAGGAGCAAGCACGCTGTCAGGCAGAACAGCTACGGGAGCAAGCACACTGTCAGGCGGAGCAGCTACGGGAGCTGAAAGAGATGCATAAGGATTTCACGAAGGGACTGCAAAAGGCTGTCGAACGGGTACAGGAAGTGGAGGAAGGGTTAGGCAAGTTGGAACATCGCGTCATGGCCATAGAGGAGAGAGTGGAAGAAGAGATCTCCAAAATCAAGCAGGAAATGACAAGCCCAAGCCCTTTGAAGAGCCGAAGCCGTCTTGCAGCCGTTTTTGACGCCCCAAATGCGGCCTCAAGCGCAACGAAAGGGCTCAAGATTCCCCATTACGACGGAACAACATCCTGGACCGCGTTCAAGCTACAGTTTGAGACACTTATGGAGGCTTATGGTTGGACTCAGAAGGAAGCACAGTCAGCCCTCACCCTGGCCCTCCGTGATCAAGCGCTCTCAGTGCTGGAAGCTATCGGCGCAAGTGGGGATCTCAGCTTTAGTACCCTCCTCGACG